GAAGGGACCTCGGAGGTCTTCTAGTCCAGCCCCCTGCTCAAGAATCATAGAATAACAGGCCTGGAAGGGACCTTGGAGATCTTCTAGCCCAGCCCCCTGTTCAAGGATCATAGAATCATAGAATAACAGGCCTGGAAGGGACCTTGGAGGTCTTCTAGTCCAGCCCCCTGCTCAAGAATCATAGAATCATAGAATTACAAATATGGAAGGGACCTTGGAGGTCTTCTAGTCCAGCCCCCTGCTCAAGAATCATAGAATCATAGAATTACAAACCTGGAAGGGACCTCGGAGGTCATCTAGTCCAGCCCCCTGCTCAAGAATCATAGAATTGTAGAATAACAGACCTGGAAGGGACCTCAGAGGTCTTCTAGTCCAGCCCCCTGCTCAAGCAGGAGACCCTTACACAATCATAGAATAACAGAGCTGGAAGGGTCCTTGGAGGTCATCTAGTCCAACTCCCTGCTCAAGCAGGAGACCCTCTACCATTCCAGACAAATGGCTGTCCCACCTCTTCTTAAAAACCTCCAGTGATGGAGCACCCCCGAGCTGTTCCATTGATTAATTGTTCTCACTGTCAGTTACTTATAGCGAAATCCCTTTTTATTCTCCAAACAGAATTCTACTTCAGGGGTTCTCGAGCAACACATAAGGAAAAAAAGGATGGGAAGTGGAACTTGAAAAAGGGGGTTCTGTACCCCCCCTCTCTAATTGTCTTTGTTAATCTAGTTCTACCCTGTGGAGATGGCAATACACAAATTTCCTTGCTATATTTTCCCATGTTTAAATTTCAGGGTCCACATACGGTGTCTTTTCCTCCATTTCCTATGTCTTTGCCGGAAAACTACTATTAGGAATCTTTTAATTTTAGACTATCTTTCTCTCCCCCCCCCCGCTCTGTTCTAGGATTACCATTCAATTTTTTACGAATGCAGCGCCTTGACGGGGGAGAACACCAGAGCATCTGTACTGCACCTGGCCAGGTATGGAAAATGGGATTTGAAAAGACAGAAAAGGACAGAGGGACAATCTCGTTGTGAATGGGACCTTGGGGGGGAAGAGGCACAGAACAAACAAATTGTGTTCACATTTGTTCTCTTCCTGGCCTCTTCGGCTGCCTGCTGTCTTCTCCTGACCCTGTTCCAACCAGTAGTGAAAAATATAACTTATATCAGTTCTTCCCATGGCAATTTACACAAGCAGATTAGGTAAACACTGTCTTCGGTTAGATGCATTCTAGCTTTAAGTCAGAAGCTGAAGCCAAAATTCTGGATTACTGGTTACAGTGGGGGCGGGGGAAGTATTTGATCTGCTGATTTTGTACGTTTGCCCACTGACAAAAATAATGATCAGTCTATAATTTTAATGGTAGGTTTATTTTAACAGTGAGAGACAGAATAACAACAAAAAAATCCAGAATCAATCAATCTATTTATTTATCTGTCTGTCTGTCTATCTCTACCTACCTACCTACCTAATCATCTATCTTTTCAATTTGCCTATCTATCTATCTATCTATCTATCTATCTATCTATCTATCTATCTATCTATCTATCTATCTATCTATCTATCTATCTATCATCTATCTATCTATCTCTACCTACCTACCTACCTACCTACCTAGTATCTATCTTCTATTTGCCTATTATCTATCTATCTATCTATCTATCTATCTATCTATCTATCTATCTATCTATCTATCTATCTATCTATCTGTCTGTCTGTCTGTCTATCTTTATCTAGTATCTATATCTATTTTTTCTATTTGCATCTATCTATCTATCTATCTATCTATCTATCTATCTATCTATCTATCTATCTATCTATCTCTACCTACCTACCTACCTACCTACCTACCTAGTATCTATCTTCTATTTGCCTATTATCTATCTATCTATCTATCTATCTATCTATCTATCTATCTATCTATCTATCTATCTATCT